ATCCCCTTCTTGCTCCTTATTACCTCAATTCCTAATAAATATTTCAGCACTCCCAAATCCTTCGTATGAAATTGACTATGAAGGAAAGTTTTGAGTGATAGGATGCCTGATGAATCATTACCAGTAATCACAATATCATCAACATATACGACCAGTAAGATAACACCAGACTCAGTTTGTTTATAAAAGACAGAATGGTCCGACTTACTCTTCTTCATTCCAAAGTTCTCAACCACCTGACTGAATTTTCCAAACCATGCTCGTGGACTTTGTTTCAACCCATATAAGGATTTACGAAGACGACATACCTTTCCATTCTCCCCCTGAGCAACAAAACCTGGTGGTTGCTCCATATACACTTCCTCTTGAAGATCACTATGGAGGAAGGCATTTTTAATATCAAGCTGATGTAACGGCCAATGGTGAATAGATGCCAAGGAAATGAATAACCTAACAGAAGTCAATTTAGCAACCGGAGAAAAAGTATCACTATAATCAATTCCATAAGTTTGCGCATATCCTTTAGCAACAAGGCGAGCTTTCAAACGGGCAATGGATCCATCAGGATGAACTTTAACAGTAAACACCCATTTACAACTGATAGGTTTTTTTCCTGCAGGAAGAGACACTAAATCCCAAGTACCGTTGTCATTTAAGGCAGCCATTTCCTCCAACATAGCAGCCCGCCAACCAGGATGAGACAAAGCTTCATGAACGGTTTTAGGAACAGATACAGACTCAAGAGATGCAAGAAACGAACAAGTAGGTGAGGACAAATGGTTATATGAGACAAAAGAAGAAATAGGATAAATACATTTACGCTTACCTTTTCTAAGAGCAATTGGAAGGTCATCACTTGTTCCTGGATCCTCGGACGAAGAATCTGCTGGTATAGGGCATGAGTCCGTAGGAGGTTGCCGACGAGAATAAACTTGAGTAATGGTGGGAAGAGAAGGATCAGGCACATAGGAAGATGTATTGCTAGGAAGCTCTTCAGTGGAAGGAGAGACAATGAAATATACAAGAAAGTCATCATCTTCTTGTGAACTCTCCCCCTGACTGGTACTCAAAGATGATGAAAAAGGAGTATTTTCAAAGAATGTAACGTCGGGAGAGATAAGATATCTATTAAGATCAGGACAATAACATCGATACCCTTTTTGAACACGAGAATAACCAAGGAAAATGCATTTCAAGGACTTGGTGTCCAATTTGGTGAGCTGAGGGCGAACATCACGAACAAAACAGGTGCAACCAAATATTTTAGGTTTAATAGGAAATAAAGGTTGCATAGGACATAGAGTACGATAAGGTATCTCACCCTTAAGAACTGATGAAGGCCGTCGAAATAGCATCGGCCCAAAAATATTTTGGAACATGCATTTGAAACATTAAGGCCCTTATTGTTTCGAGATGATGTCTATTTTTTCTTTCTGCAACTCCATTTTGAGACGGAGTATCGACA